AGCCAAGGGCAGGTGCACCCCCGACGGACGCAGGAAAGGCAGGGTCAGAGACCAGAGCGGTAGCGTAGTCAAGGCGGCGGGTAGAGGCGAAGTCAGCGACAGCAGCGACAAGCGTATCAAGGCAAGAGACAGGAACAGACGGGTCTGTAACAAGAGAGGCAAGGACCCGAGGGACAAGGGGACGAGCGGCACGGAGGTAGCCAGACAGCGGGGGAGGTGCAACAACAAGAGACGAGGGAGGAGGCGAGGGGAGGAGGAGAGGACGAGACGAGTGAGAACAGAGTAAGATAGGGTGGGAGCGCGGGACAGGGGAGACGGGACGAGCACGTGAGGGATGGCGAGACCAAACGTGGGACGGAGGTGTAGGGTCAGGGGACAGCGGAGGGGACACAAGGGAGGAATGAGGAGGAAGACGGGCCGGAGTAGAGTCCGGGGGCGGGAACACAGGGCCGTAGACAGGAACGGGAGGAGGAGGTGGGGGAGACACCGGCGAGCGGTCAGGGGAGGGAAGGCCGAGCAGGCGAAGAGCGGAGACCGGCGGCGACGGCTGCGGCGGCTGGTGCGGCGTCTGGTGCGGCGGCTGGTGCTCGACCCTCGAACCGGCAGGGGCACGACGACCTCCGGGAGAACACTCAACAGCAGCACCCCCAGAACTAACACCCCCAGAGCGAGAACCCTCTCCAGCCCCAGCGGCACCCCCAGGCCCGCCGGGACAGACCACGCTAGGAGCCGCAGAACGAACACACTCTTCAGCGCCAGCACCACCAGAGGCCAAGAGTGGCAGCGGCGGCGGCGGCGGCGGCTGCGACGGCGGCGGCGGCAGCAACGACAGCGGCGGCTGCGACAGCAACGACTGCGGCGGCTGCGACAGCAGGGGCGGGGACACCATGGAAGGGGGACGCGGCAAAGGCGGGCCGGGGGGACCACCAGAGTCAGCAGACTCCTCAATAGGGACAACTGACGGGAGGGGAGTGACATGGGAGACACCAGACGGGGCAGGACGAGGCAGGAGGGGAGGAGGGGCTACCGGGGGAGAGGGGGCAAGGAATAGGGGTGGGAAAACCGGGAGACCTCGGTGAGGGAAGCGACGGAAGAAGGAGACGGACTCGTCAAAGGTGACGTCATGAGAGTGGAGGAAGCGGTGAGACTGCGGGTGGTAGAAGAGCCAGTTAGACGAGTCCAGGGGGAAACCAAGGAAGACACAGGGGACAGTGCGGGCAGTGAGCTTGTCCGTGCCAGAGGCACGAAGGTGAGCAAGGCAGCCCCAGACGTGGAACGCAGACGCGTCACCGGGGGACCCGGTCCAAAGGAGGGTCGGTGAAACCTGCGGCCGCTGGAAGCGTGGCCACAAGTTAAGCTGGTGAGCAGCGTAGCGAACAGCGAACGGCCACAGAAAATGGGGTGCACCGGCATGGATCATGGAGGTACGAGCCACCTCCATGACCAAGCCGATGCGGCGCTCAGCAACCCCATTCTGCTGTGGCGAGTCCGGCAAGGTGTACGACTGGGTGATGCCCTCCGCACGACAGAACTGTCCAAGCCGACCAGAAGCGAACTCGCCGCCACGGTCAGAGTGGAGACACAACACGGGGAGACCGCGGTGAAGACGTGCAGCCACAACCCACGGGAGAAGAACGTCAGGCACGTCGGCCTTCCGCTCCAGGGGAAACACCGTGGTGTAGCGCGTGTAGTCGTTGACGATGACAAGAAAGTAGCGCTCACCGCGCGGTCCGGGGACGGGGGCCGGGCCCCAAACGTCCAGGTGTAGGGTCTGAAGGGGAGCAGTAGCAGGGCGAAGCGAGGAGGAGTGAGGGGCACGGCGGAGCCGGCCCTCGACGCAGGGCGTGCACGGTGGAGCAGGCGAGAGGGGAAGGGCGGGGAACGACGCGGGGAGGCCTAAGACAAGACCGTGCTGGGACATGTAACGCAGACGCGGGAGTGTAGGGTGACCTAGGCGGTGGTGCCACAAAAGGGACGGGTGAGTGAGAGACCGACACGAGCACGCTGCAGCGACCTGGGAGGACGCACCAATCGGGGGGGGAAGCAATGTCAAGGGTGAACAGACCGGACACCGGGTCCCGGGGGAACGTCGCAAGGGGGGAATCTGAGACAGCCTCGGTACAGACAGCGAACCGCTCGTGCGCAGGGAACATAGTGGTGACGCCGAGGTCCTGAAGACAGCCGATACCAACCAGGTTCCTGGAGAACGAGGGAATGTGAAGGCCTGTAAGGGAGCCCAAGGGGACGGCTGGACAGGGAAGGGAAGTAGAGCTGCGAGCGACGACAGGACCCGCAGAGGGGTCAGCGAGAGCGACAACAGCAGGCGCAGCAAGCGGCGTGAGCGTGGAGCGGTCGCGGAAGAAACAGGCAGAAGCACCGGAGTCGAGAGTGAAGGACAGCGAGGCAGTAGTAGAGGCCGGGGACGATGTCGGTGCAGGAACGAGGCTAGGCACCTAGGCAGTCCTACGGCTGACGCAGCAGGGGAAGCTAAGCTACACAAGGGTGCTACACCTAAACTAGAGTACACAGGGTAATAAGATCCAGCAACACTAGAAGCGTCAGCATACAAGGCATGCAAAGCAGCACCTATCTGATCCATATCTACTGTAACTCAAAGATCGGAACGCCCTGGCGAAGCAGGCTGTACACAGAGTGCCGCGGAGAGGCCCGGTCTGAAGCTGATACTGGCAGGTCACAGCACCGGAGCTGCCGGTAGACGCCAAGCTGCGCGGGCCACCACCACGGCCACCACCTCCGGAGGTGCCCGGCCAACCAGGCGGGAGACGAGCCCACGGCTGCGGCGGCTGCTGCTGGGACGGCGGCGGCTGCTGCGGGGGCTGCTCCTGGTACGAAGGCGACTGCGACTGCTCCTGCCCATCGGTGGTAGTCCCCTTAGGGGGACTACCGTCGCCACCACCACTACCACCACCACCAGCGCTACCACCACAACCTCCCTGACGGCCACGGCCAACGCGGGGGTCGCAGCAGCTGTCTCGGTAAGAGGGGTCGCAGTGGCGACCGCAGCCAAAACGTCAGTAAATGTGCACTGGGAGGGGGCACAGCCGTGAAAGATAGAGACTGCCGGCGCACCGCTCGACTGAGCGATTGTGCGCTGGCGAGTCTCGATCTCGGTGAGGGTGTCGACAAAGGCGGTCAGGGTAAGGTCACCCGGGTGCTGGCTAAGGAAGTGGTCGCGGGCACTAGCTAGGCGGTCCGGCAGGCGCATGGCGATAAAATAGAGGGTCATGCAGAATGGGGGGGGGAGCGCAGTGAGCTGGGCAGCAGTGCTGGCAGTGCGATAGCGAGACTCTAGGGCACGCAAGTGAGTGGAAAAGTCTGCAAGAGTAGGGAAGGCAGCAAGGTCTAGGAACAGCATCGGGAAGAGCAAGCGGCTGGCAGAAGCGGATGCAGGCGTGGAATGGCGAGCAACAACAGCGTCTAAATAAGCTTTGGCCGTATCAACCGTAGCGAAACGCGAGCGCTCAGACACAGGGAGGGCATGACTGATAGCAACCTGAGCTACTTCATCGCTTGAGTTCCAGACCGCACAGGCAAGCGCAGCAGTAGAGAAAGCCTCACTCTCAACGGAGGTGGGGTCAGCAAGGAGGGGAGCAGGTGCAGGGGTGCGGGGGAGCAAGCCATCAGCATGGACAACCAGCGAGTGTCCATCATGGCGCTGACCTGTAAGCTGACGGCGGAGATCGGAGAGCCGGGCGGCGAACTCAACCGCGTGGCCCTCAGCGTCCAGGCGGAGCACGAAGTCAGCCATCGTGCAGGGTCAGCGACACAGCTCCTCAGCGACACAGCGGCACAGCTCTACAGCTTGGCAGGAGCACAGCGGCACGGGGACACGGCGGCAGCACTCTCCAGTAGGGCGGCTGCAGGGGCGCCCCAGCGCGGGCTAGCAGAGGACACAGGGGCCGAGGTGGCACGGCAGGCCGAGCAGGCACGAGGAGGGGCCAGGCGAGCAAGAGGAGGGGCCGGGCACGCGCGGGGCGGCCGGGCAGGCGCGACTAGGGGCCGGGCGGGCGCTGCTGGGGCCGGCTAGGAGCGGGCTCGACGGTCAGTGGGCCGGCCAGGAGCGGGCGCGTGGGGCCAGAGGGGGCCAGCTAAGAGCGGGCGCGACGGCCAGTGGGGCCAGCTAGGGGCGGGCGCGAACGGCCAGGGGGCCGGCTAGGAGCGGGCGCAAATGGCCAAGGGGCCAGCTAGGGGCGGACGCGACGGCCAGGGGGCCGGCTAGGGGCGGACGCGACGGCCAAGGGGCCAGCTAGGGGCGGACGCGACGGCCAGGGGGCCAACTAGGGGCGGACGCGACGGCCAGGGGGCCAGCTGAGGGCGGACGCGACGGCCAGGGGGCCAGCTAGGGGCGGACGCGACGGCCAGGGGGCCGACTAGGGGCGGACGCGACGGCCAGGGGGCCAGCTGAGGGCGGACGCGACAGCCAGGGGGCTGACTAAGGGCGGACGCGACGGCCAAGGGGCCAGCTAGGGGCGGACGCGACGGCCAGGGGGCGGGCTAGGGGCGGTCGCGACGGCCAGGGGGGCCAGCTAGGGGCGGACGCGACGGCTAGGGGGCCGACTAGGGGCGGACGCGACGGCCAGGGGGCCAGCTGAGGGCGGACGCGACGGCCAGGGGGCTAGCTAGGGGCGGACGCGACGGCCAGGGGGCCAACTAGGGGCGGACGCGACGGCCAGGGGGCTGACTAGGGGCGGACGCGACGGCCAAGGGGCCAGCTAGGGGCGGACGCGACGGCCAGGGGGCCGGTTAGGGGCGTACGCGACGGCCAGGGGGCCGACTAGGGGCGGACGCGACGGCCAAGGGGCAGACTAGGGGCGAACGCGACGGCCAGGGGGGCCAGCTAGGGGCGGACGCGACGGCCAGGGGGCCAGCTAGGGGCGGACGCGTTGGCCAAGGGGCCGGCTAGGGGCGGGCGAGAGACTAGGGCGCGGGCGGAAGCGGGCGGGTGAACCTAACCTACTCGATACCATGTTAGAATACGTGAATAAATTACTAGAGGGGAAACAGGGAACATATAGCAGTTGGGTTGTACTCACTAAGAGCACACACCGATACTATCCTATAACTTCTACATGCATGATATGTATAAGTTGACAGGTGTCTCATACACAAACCCAGATTCAGTCAGAGTTGCAGCGCTGCAGAATCCCTGATTCCAGGGTGAAGTGTCTTCCTTCATCGTTCTGCAGTCCAACGTTTCACCCACCGTCTGCACCAATCACCCGGTATCACCTCTCCGTGCGCTCCTCTCATTGATCTCCTGAAACAGCCCCTGCATGAAATCATTAATCCGCCGGTCATAGTGCGCCCTCACCCCCTCGATTCTCGTCTCCTCCGCTGCTTCCAGAGCCCTCATCTCCCTCACACCCCGCTCCTCCTCTCTCCTCGCCTCCTGCACTGCCCTCATGGCACTCGCTGCCACCGACACCTGCTGCCGCTTCAGCTCTTTGGCGATCTCCCTCTTGGCGCGGTCGAACCCGATGCTCTGTAGAGAGTTCCGCAGAGTGTCTTGTAGGGAGGATCGCTCGCTTGCATCGTTTCCTGTTGCCCGCCCTGGTGCTTGTGGTGGTGCTGGTGCTGGTGCTGGTGTTGATGCTGCTGCTGGTGGTGGCGCTGCTGCTGCAGCTGGTGGTGCTGCTGATGCCGGTCGTGCTGGTGTTGCTGGTGTTGCTGGTGGTGCTGGTGCTGGTGCTGGTTGTGCTATTGGTGGTGGTCCTGCTGTTGCTGCTGCTTTTACTGTTGGTGGTAGCGCTGTCGCTGCTGCCCGTGCTGCTGATCTTTCTGCTGACCTTGCTGCTGCTGCAACCGTCGGTGCAGCTGTTGCTGACACGCCAACCCTGCGCCTCTTCCCCTCGCCCTGGTCAGGTGTCCCTGGGACCGCTGCTGCTCCGCCCTCCAGCCCCACTGCCCCCTGCTCGCTCTCTCCCCCCTCACGATCTCCCACTCGCCCCACTAATCCCCCTCCTTGCACACCCAGACCTCTTCCAACGCCTCCTCCTCTCTGCCTCTTTCTCCCTTCCTCCCTCCCTTCCACCGCCGTGCATGTAACGAACTTGCCCAATGTATCCCTGGCTTGATTCTTCGCCCTCTCCCCCCTGTCATCCGTCTCTCGCTCGCTCGCCCTCCTATCTCGTACCCTCTCCTTGCCTCTCACTCTCTTCTTGCTCTCCCCTTCCATTGCCCTCCCCCCAATCGCACCCCCCTCTCCCTCCCGGCGCCTTCTCTCCCCCTCCTTCACCCCTCCCGCCCCCTCAGCTCCCTCTGAACGCCCAACCCCCTTCTTACCTTCGAGTGCCTCTTCCGGCTCGTGAGTCAGATCGAAAGCAACCCTTTTCTCCCCTGCACTTCCCACAGCCTGCCTCCCCCCAACGCCGCCCATCCCCATCCCGAACCTCGTGCTTCCCTTGATCTCACCCACACGGGGTCGAAGTCGCTCCCTTCTCCTTTGAGGAGTCTCACACGCAGTTTCTCCCATCCGCTGCCTTCTAGACGCCTCGTTTGCATCTTGGGAAGAAAGGGGCATACCAGCAGCCAGTTTCTCTACGCCCGCACTGTCCACTCGCTCCCTGCGACTCCGCCTCTCTTTAATCGAACCCTTGGAAGGGTGAGTCACAGCAGCAGCTGCTCTCACACCGCTCCCTGCTTCAGCAGCAGGAGAGGGAGGGGTGGCATCACCAGGCTCAGCGTGGGGGTGTTGGACCTCCTCATCACAAGCATCGGAGTCGGAAGTGTGCGCTGCGTAGGTACGGATGAGGAGGATGCACGCCTGAGCACAGGGGCCCCACCAGAGGCAGGGGCCCCACCAGAGGCAGGGACACGAACAGTGAGTGACGGGAGGGGAGGAGGTTGAGGTGGGTTAACCAGAGGAGTAAGAGATGGGCAGCACATGGCATGGCAGGAGGAGGAAGAACCACTTCCCTCCAACCAGTTGGGTACTGCACGCCCGGCGCGAAATTGTGCATGCCACGCCAGCAACTAGGCATGCGTCCTAAGCATCCGGACAAGGACGGCAAAGGCTTGAGACGGATACCTATTTGGTGCACGCCGCGCCTGCACTTGAGAGCCCTACAATACTGCGCCACTTCACCTCCTCACAGGATCCGCTTCCCTTCCTTGCCCCTCTCCAACCTCACAAACCAGTCTCCACAGCCCCACCACCTTCCCCTCACTCCGCCTCCACCCCAGCTCGTTCCTGCACCACGTGCTCGTTCCTGCACCACGTGCTCGTTCCTGCACCACGAGCGCGTTCCTGCACCACTTGCTCACACACACTCACACTGGAAACACGCGTGTTACTTACTCACCCCTTCTCCCACACGGTCTGTCTCTCAACCTCAGCTGGCCTAGTAGGCGCTTACAGAAATAATAATAATCTCTTTCTTTACCGAATCCGTGGCCCACTCGGGTCGTTCTTCCACTGGAGTCCGCCGAAGCAGGGCGATCGCCCACCTCTCACTGCCCCCACGTCGCTCGCTTCTCCATCAGGTCGTCTCAGCAGTGCCACCACCCGCCTCCCACTCCTCGCCCTTCCACCACCACTTGCTGACTCACACGCCTTGCTATGTACCGAGTCGAGTCTCTCTCCCACTCGGGTCGTTCCTCCACTGGAGTCACCCGAAGCAGAGCGATGGCCCTCCCCTCCCCTCTCCGCCCTCCTCTCACAGCCCCCAGCTCGCTCACCCACAGCCATTTGCTGCCACTCACACAAGAAACACACCTCACTGCTTACCGAATTCGCTTCCACATCAGCCAACCTACACCGTGCCACAGCCCTGCTCTCCCCGCCCCCACCTGGTTCCTCCACCACCACTTGCTCGTACCGGACAAACCCTCCACAGGAAAGTACAACCCAATCTCACATTCTCATGAACACGAAACAAGAAAGCCCTTACCGAGTCCTTGCTCCATCCCGGTTGTTCTTCCACCTCAGCCAGTCTTGGCAGCGCCACCGCCCTGCACTCCCCGCCCCCGGCTCGCTCCTCCAGCACCACTTGCTCGCAGCGGTCGAAGCCCTCCACGTGAAACAGGTCCCCCAAGTCATCCTCCCACACATCCCCGCTCTTCCCGTCCTCGTTATGAATGGCCTCACGCCCTTCCAACCCCTCCTCCTCCCCGCCATCAACCACTCCCTTACCCCCTTCTCCCCTCCCCTGCCCTTCCGCCCTCGCTCTTCTCGCTTCCCCTCCCCCATCCGCTCTCACGTCTCTCCCACCCCTCCCGCCCTTCCTTCTCCCCCCCACGTGCCAGCTCAAGACTCCCCCACTTCTCCTCCCCTTCCTCCTCTGCTCTTTCGCCCTCCGTTTTTCCTGCCTCGTTCTCACTCCCTCGTCTCCACCCGCCCACTTCACCTTCCTAACAGTCGCCCGCGCCTCTCTTGCGCGCAGAAACGATGCTACCATCCCTCGCCACTGCCCGCCCCCAATCTCGCCACTGCCTGTGTCAGACCGCTGGCCCGCCTGCTTCAGACGCACCGCAGCGCCGGCAGCACCAGCGCCGGCAGCACCAGCGCCGGCAGCACTAGCGCCGGCAGCCCGGGCGCGGAGGAATGCCAGCAGGTGGCGCGGCGTGAACTCGCCCTTGCTGCTTCCTGTCAGCTCCTCGCCACGCCCGCCCTTAGCGCCGCCCACTTTCTCCCCATCCCCTTTCTCCCCATCCCCTTTCTCCCATCCCCTTTCTCCCCATCCACTTTCTCCCCATCCCCTTTCTCCCCATCCCCTTGCTCCCCGCTCCCTCCTGTCCCTTCCGTCACCCCCTCGCCTGCCACCCCTCCTCGCGCCCCTTGAGCAGGCGGCTCCACGAGCCTCGCCCCTCCCACACCCTCGCTGCTTCCCGTGAGCTTCTCGACATGCGTGCCCTTGGAACCGTCCGCTTTCTCCAAAGCCTCATCCTCCCCACCCCCCTCCCCGTCATGCCCTCCCGCCTTTTCCGTCCGCCCCTGCCCTGCCACCACTCCCCGCGCCCCTTCTCCAGCCGCCCCCGTGGGCCTCGCACCTCCCACCGCCCCTCCCGCCCTGCCCTCGGCGCGCCTGCCTGTGTCATCCACTCCCCCCTGCCCGGCACCCACCTCGCCCGCTCCCTCTCTGCTGGACGCCTCGGGCGCCCATACTCCGCCTGCCCGTCCTGCCCTGCACTCTCCATCCCCCCCCCCCGCTCGCCCCTGCCCTGCCCCCATCTCGCCCCATCCTTCTCTGCTCGACCCCAAGGGCGCAGACGCCGTGAGCGCCCCTTCTGCACCAGCACCCCCATTCGACGCGGCCCCACGCGCAGCACCAGCACCAGCACCAGCACCAGCATCATAAACACCAAGTTTTTTCGAGGACTCTAAAGTTGCAAAATCTATGTGAGCAGCTGCAGCACCTACGCCATAAACACCTCGGTTTTGAGACGACACCAAAGGCGCGGCATCCACGTCAGCAGCAGCAGCAGCAGCGGCGGCGGCGGCGGCGGCAGCAGCAGCAGCAGCAGCGGCGGCGGCAGCGCCGTCTGCTCGTGGCGGCTCCTCCCCCCTTGTCTCCCCGACATCCGCGCGCATCCTCTCCGCCTGCCACCCCGCCCCCTCGACGGGAAACAGCTCGCCCAGAACACCGCCGCCCTCCTCCGCATCGTCATCCGCATCCTCGTCCTCATCCCCCTCGCCCTCATCCCCCTCGTCCTCATACTCACTGCTCCCGTCGCTGCCACTCGCGTCGCCATCATCCGTGCCGCGATCCCCTCTCACATGCCCTTCAACTGTTTCGCCCCTGTCACCCCTTCCCCTGTCATCGCTTCGCCCTCCCCCTTCCCTTCTCCCCTCCCTTTGCTCTCCCCTTCCGCTCTGCCTTCGGCCTCTCCTCCCTCTCCGCCTCACCTTCCCCTCCCCCTTCCCCTCCCGCGTGCTCTGTCGAACGATCGCCCGCGCCTCGCGAGCGTCAAGAAACGCTTCCACCAGCTTTCGCCCCGCCTTTCCCGCGTTTTCGCCACCGATTTCGCCTGCAGCTTCGCCACCGTTTTCGCCAGCGCGTTCACCTGCGTTTTCGCCTGTGGGATTCAGAGGCGTGGAGCGGGCGCGAAGTATTGCAAGCAGCCGGCGCGGCGAAATCTCATCCCCGCCGCTTCCAGGCGCGACCTCCGCGCCACCACCGCGGCCGTTCTCCCAGCGCCCATCCGAAACACCCCAGTCCGTGGCTTTAAGCATATCCTCGCAGCTCTCAGTGGCTTCGTTGCTCTGCGATTTCCCACGGCCCCCCTCCTTCCCGTCTTGTCCTCTCGCTTCCATTCGATTCGCGCACCGCCCTCGAGGACTGTAAATGGATTTGGGGTACGCACTTTCCCGCACTTGTCTCGAGTTGTAACAAGGGAGGCGAGGGCTGACGTGCCGGAGGTGAAGGGGCGACAGACGAAAGGGAAATGGGAGTGCGTGGGTGGAGGTGGGAAATGGCTGGTTCCCTAAGTGGGGTGAATACATGGAGGCTAGCAGGAAGCAGGGAGAGCAGGCGAGGACTGAGTTGCGGGGTGAGGGGGAGCCGGTGGGTGCATATGCAGGCTGAGTGCTGGCGGTCTAGTAAGTAACACGTAAGGTGATATTGAAATCCATAAAATTATGAACCTACAATTTTGAATGTGTGAAAGATTTCGTAATTACACAATTTTAAGATTTTAAGGCTTTATTATCTTAATAACTTATTTTATCATAAATATAATTATTCGTCATATTTTTTCATTACCAAGGACAAATGTTTTGTAAGATGTTTAAAAAGAAAATGTATTTATAAAGCGAGTGGTCAAAATAGTGAAGGTGGGTCCAACTTGAAAGGGCCCAGACGTCCGTTTTTGCGACGAAGGGATAAAACTGTGACGGGGCAGAGGGTACACTGTCAAGAAATGCGAGCACAGGAAACTGGGCGAGAATACGCAGTTACCTGATTGGTTGGCGGGGAAAACAGGACATACGGTGGGAAAAAGGCTCAGGAAAAATCGCAAGCAGTGCGCCACCTGTCGCCCAGCCCGAACTGCCTGTAAGCTGCACCAAGTGGGCCCAACTTGAATTTCAAAGTTGGAACCAGGTTCACTACTTCGGGAAAACCGAGGATGGGCCCCGATGTCAAACATGTGTATTTGTCATGTTTGTATAGACTGTATAGGGTCACCTCTTAGAGGGTACAACACTTAGGTATATCTGTGTGTACTCTCACTCTACTATCATTCACTTCTCTAATTCTGATATGGTATCACGCGTAGGTTAGGATCCCCCCCCACCTACCGCTTCCGCTCGCCCCCCTAGCTCGGCCCCGCCGTGCCTCCCTCCTAGCCCCGTCGTGCCCCTAGCTCCGTCGCGGCCCCCCTAGCCCCGCCGCGCCCCTACCTGGACCCCGTAGCGCCCCTCCTGGGCCCCGTCGCGCCCTTTTTGGGCCCTGTAGCGCCCCTCCTGGGCCCCGTCGCGCCCCTCCCAGGCCCCGTTGCGCCCCTCCTGGGCCCCGTAGCGCCCCTCCTGGGCCCCGTCCCGCCCCTCCTAGGCCCCGTAGCGCCCCTCCTGGGCCTCGTCGCGCCCCTCCTGGGCTCCGTAGCGCCCCTCCTGGGCCCCGTCGCGCCCCTCCTGGGCCCCGTAGCGCCCCTCCTGGGCCCCGTCGCGCCCTTCCTGGGCCCTGTAGCGCCCCTCGTGGGCCCCGTCGCGCCCCTCCAGGCCCCGTCGCGCCCCTCCCAGGCCCCGTCGCGCCCCTCCTGGGCCCCGTAGCGCCCCTCCTGGGCCCCGTCGCGCCCCTCCTAGGCCCCGTAGCGCCCCTCCTGGGCCTCGTCGCGCCCCTCCTGGGCTCCGTAGCGCACCTCCTGGGCCCCGTCGCGCCCTCCTGGGCCCCTGTAGCGCCCCTCCTGGGCCCCCGTCGTGCCCCTCCTGGGCCCCGTAGCGCCCCTCCTGGGCCGCGTCGAGCCCCCCTCCTGGGCCCCGTCACGCCTTCAGGCCCCGTCGCACCCGCCCGGCCCCGACGCACCAGCCCGGGCCCGTCACGCCCGCCCGCCCGTCGCACCCGCCCGGCCCCGTCGCCCCTGCCCGGCCCCGTCGCAGCCGCCCGGCCCCGTCGCACCCGTCCGGCCCCGTCGCGCCGCCCAGCCCCGGTGCGCCCCTCCTGGGCCACCGTCCTGCTCGCCCGGCCCCGTCGCACTGGCCCGGCCCCTTTGCACCGCCCGGCCCCGTCGCACCAGCCCGGCCCCGACGCACCCGCCCGGCCCCGTCGCACCAGCCCGGCCCCGTCGCACCCGCCCGGCCCCGTCGCACCCGCCCGGCCCCGTCGCGCCCGCCCGGTCCCGTTGCACCGGCCCGGCCCCTGCGCTCGTCCCTGCCCCGGCCCCGGTCCTCCTTACTGGTACGGTTCTCCCCCCCCCCCCCCCCCCCCCCCCGCCCTGCGCTGCCGTGCACCGTACTGCCCCGCACTGCACCGCCCCGCACCACCCTGTACTGCCTGGCACCGCACTGCACCGCCCTACACCGCACTGCACCGCACTGTACCGCACAGCACCGCACTCCACCTTGCTGCACTGCCCTGCACCGCACTAAACTGTTCCTGATGGCGGCGGAGCTTCGCTTCGACGCTGAAGGCCAGCCTCTGGAGTTCGAGGCGTGGCTTGCCAACCTCCGTCGCCAACTCACTGGCCAGCGGCAGGATGGTGAACCGCTTTCCGCACACCTTGACGGTACGCTCCCCTGCCCAGACCCCCCTGCTATTCTGCCCGCTGACTCCACACCCACTGAGCGCGAGTCCACTGCTGCCACTGCCCGTGCGCGCTCTGTCTGGCTTTCTCGCGATGCTGTCGCCCAGCTTGCCATTAGCAACGCCCTTCCCCCATCCGAGCGCCCTCGCTTTAGGTCTCTCACTACTACTCAGGCATACTTAGATGCTGTCATCCAGCGCTATTCCACCCCTCCGGCTGCCTCGGTGGGTCGCCTGATCCTCCCGATGCTCTTTCCTGACCTTGCATCTTTCCCCACTGTCTCTGACCTCGCTGCCCACCTGCGCTCGATAGATGAGACCTGGCGCGCAGCCTGCACTGATGCACAGCTTAGAGCCCACCAGCCGCCCATTACCTCTACCCTCTACCTGCTTGCCACCCGCCTCCCTGACCGCCTTGCTGTCGCCCGCGACCGCTTCCTTAGCATTCACCCCGCAGACCTCACCCTCACTGACTTTGTAGACACCCTGACTGTGATAGAGACCCGTCACCGCTCCATCGCCCAGGCGAGCGGTGTCGTGCCGGTCCCTATCTTTCAGGGTTGTGCCCCCGCCCCGTGTACCTTCTCCGACGGCTCTGCCGCAGTGGCTTAGACTGTTGCTGCAGCGCAGTTTCATTCGGGGAAGGGCCGCCGCCCCAAGGTTGGGCGCGGCGGAGGCGGCGGCGGGGGTGCGGGAGGGGGTAGTGGTGGGGTCGGGTCGTCTGGTGCTGGAGCGGACGAGGGGACCCTGCCCAGTCCAGCTGAGCCGCCGCCCCTGCAGTTGCAGCAGCCGCCGCAGTCGCAGCCTTCGTAGCAGCCGCAGCAGCCGTCGCAGACGCGGCAGACGAGTGTCCTCCCGCCCGGGTGGCCCGGCGCTGGCGGTGGCCGGGCGCGTGGTGGTGTGCCGAGTGGTGGCTCTGGCGGCGGGCGTTGTTGATGGAAAACGTGCAAATCTGAAGAGAATAAATTAGAGATTAAGTCTGACGACCTCAACGGACCATTGCGTGCAGCTCAGGTAACTTTTAGAAATGAGCTTATACGCGTTGGAAAGGTCTTAATCTCTAATTTCTAGAATGGTAAAGCACATTCATAACCAAGATTTGAGCCGCCGATTATGACGAAATCAGTGTGAGGGGATATTCTGGTAATTTGGCTAGGCAGCCATGAATGACTTAGTCAAAACGACAGGGGAAGCAGTTAGATCTGGAAAAGTTCGAGTATGTGATTGTCAAACAACACCAACCCTCGCCCTGAACCAAACCCTAACACTCCCAAGTGCCAGAGCTGCAACATCAAAGATGTTGTAGTGGGTATGAGGTAGTATGGGTGGAAAGGTAACGAGATCAAACCTAGCCAACCAACCCAATTCTTTTGCCCAAATCCCAATAGCCCACAGCCAGCTAGAGCAAATCATACCACAGAACACTTACACATTTATCACTCCCCCTTGCTCGTGCTGGGTGTGGCTCAACACCATAGGGCAAATGCCTTCACACCACTCCCCCTTGCCCATGGGTTGGGGCCACCCAGAGCATGGAGTCCGCCAAGGAGAGGAGCACCAAGACGCCGGCATCTGCTTCGGTAACTCTGTTATCATGGGGCTGCATCCCGAGCAAGGTCATGCACACACCATGACGCTCAAATGGAAGAGACTTGGTAAGAATATCAGCAGCCTGACGGTTGGTGGGGCACCACTGCAAAATCACCTCACCCGCAGCTACCATCTCCCGAATGAAATGCCACCGGACCTGCATGTGTTTGGTGCGGCCATGCAAGCATGCATTCTGTGCAAGGGCAATGGCAGACTGATTATCCACAAACACAGGCACACCACCAGCATGATCATGGCCAAACCCCTCAAACAAATGCCTCAGCCACACACCCTCCTGAATGCACTGACACAGGCTTATATACTCACTCTCAGTGGTAGAGAGTGCTACCACGGGCTGCCTCTTGCTCTGCCAAGAGATAGCTGCCCCATTCAGACAGAACACATATCCACTGTGGCTCCTGCGACTTGCGGAATCTCCTGCATAGTCAGCATCACTAAAGCCAACTAGCTGGACCTGAGACTGGGGCTGTGGTTGGAAGAGGATACCTGACTTGACACCACCTTTCAGGTACCTCAGCACTCTTTTAGCGGCCTGCAAGTGGAACATTTTAGGACAAGAGGCGACCTTAGATAGCTGTGAGACTGCAAAGGCAATCTGTGGCTGTGTGGTAGTACAAGCATACATGAGGGATCCCACAATGCTTTGGTAGAGCTTGATCAGCTCATCTCGCAGCAAGGGTTCATTTTCATAGGCATGCACATCAAAGCCTGTTGGGAGGGGAGTACGCACGGGGTTGGCCTCTGAGAGACCAAAGGACTGAAGCATGTTAAGAATGTACCTCTCTTGATGAATCAAGATACCACTCTCATCACGCTCAATTTGCATTCCCAAGTAGTAATTCACCTCCCCCAAGTCCTTCATGCGAAAACGCGAGGACAAGAAGTCTTTCACTCGATCTAGCAAAGCCTTGCTAGAGCATAGGAGCAAAAGGTCATCCACATAGAGGAATAAGGAGATCCGCTCCTCATCTCTCACAAAGTGGTACAAGGCAGGGTCACACTCAGATCTCTCAAAGCCAAAATCCATGAGAGCCTCATCAAATTTTAGGTACCAGTGTCGTGGGGCTTGCTTTAGCCCATAAATGGACTTTTTGAGGCGACACACTCGGTTAGAACCATCATCAAAACCAGGGGGCTGCCGCATGTAAAGCTCGTCCTCCAAATCCCCATAGAGGAAGGCTGTCTTGACGTCCATATGATGGATATCAAGCCCCAAAGCAGCTGAAATTCCAAGCATACCTCTGAAGGTCGCATGCTTCCCAACTGGAGAGTACACTTCTTCATAGTGTACTCCCAATTTCTGTGTGTTTCCCATCACCACCAATCTGGACTTAGGCCTCTCAATGGTACCATCAGGGTTATGCTTATATTTCCAAACCCATTGACACCTGAGGACCTCCAAACCAGGTGGTACCACGGCTGGATCAACCAGCTCAAATGATCCATTTACCTTGTGAGACTCAAGCTCCTCGTGCATGGACTCAACCCATTCGGGACGGTTCAGCGCCTCGTGGATTGACCTAGGCTCATGCACCTGACCCATTAGACACACATCAAGAGCATACTCATGCCCATGCATGTCCACAAGCATGCAATCATCCAAATCAGACACAAGATGATCATGCATGCGTGCAATGTGCCCCGGTGAAAACCTTTCAGGTGGCTGGGAAATTCGAGCACTGCGTCGCAGAGGTGTTGCCTCTCCTTCTTCCAGCCTCCGCAGCTTCTCCTCCCAAGTCACCCTCTTTATTGGAGTCCTTGGAGTCTTGGACAGCTGCTGGTTCAACAACTGCTGCCAACTGCTTCCCGATGGAGTTGAAGGCACATGCTGCTCCGGCTGATCATCACGCGCATCGGCCTGCGTGGCTGGCTGAGGGGTAGAATCTGTCTCTCGGGACTCCTCATGGTTAGGATCAGCTGGTTCTGGCTCCTCCTGCTGCTCCTCCCCTTCATCTCCAGGGTCCTCCCATGCCTCCTCAAAGATAGAAGCCGTATGAGGGTCTTGAATGGAAGTCCCACTTTGGCTTGTACCATGCTCCTTCCACCCCTTAAAATGCAGCCCCTCATGGAAAACCACATCACGGCTCTCCATCACACGCTGGTCAGCTACACTCCACAGCACCCAAGCCTTGCTCCTCTCAGAAAACCCAAGGAAGATCCCCCACTGTGCCTTAGGATCTAGCTTCCTTCTTTGCTGGTCAGGTACCTTATACTGTGCCATGCACCCCCACACTCGTGCCATGGAAACATTCGGCACCTTCCCTGTCCATAAGGAGTATGGGCTCTTGCCTCCAAGCCCCTTGCTGCCCATCCTGTTCTTCACCCAGTTGGCATACTGCACTGCTGCCCCCCACCAAGTGTTATCAAGCTCGGCATGGGCAAGGATGGCCCGAGTCAAATCGGTCAAGGTTCTGTTAAGCCGCTTCGCTGCCCCATTTTGCTGCGGCGTGTAAGGTACAGAGAGCTGGTGGGTAATACCCTTTTCTTCCAAGAAGGTTTGAAGTTCTTTCCCAAGGTACTCTCCACCCCGATCTGACCTTAACACCTTCACCTTGGCCCCTGACTCCCTCTCCACATAGCGTATCCACCGCCTAAGCACCTTTGCCACCTCATCCTTGGTCTTCACCAAGATGACCCAGCTAAGTCGACTGAAGTCATCAAGAAAGGTGACAAAGTATTTGCTGCCCTTTTCCTGGTCAGGAGTTTGCATCGGTCCACACACATCCGTGTGCACCAGCACAAAGGGGAGTCGAGGCATGATCAGAGGAGATAGGGAATGAGGTTCTAGGCAGCTTTCCAGACGTGCAGTTGGGACATTTGCTCTGCTGCCCAGCTCCTTCCTTGACCTCCACCCCCTTCAGCTCCCCCTTCTTCACACACTCCAGCAGTTGCTGCTTCCCCGCGTGCCCCATGCAAAGGTGTAGCAACTCAGGTGACACCGTTTCCACCTGCCTCCAGCGAGTGCTACAAGCGGCTTCCTCAGAAAAAACCATATGTGCCTTGTAACAATTAGGCACACAAGCTAGAACAAGGTATAAACCCTTGTCCAGCTTTGCCTCCATCACCACAGCTTCACCCTTTCTAACAGTACACCCTCCCTGAGTGAAAGTGCAGATGTATCCCTGTTTAGCCAGCTGTGAGCATGAAAGGAGGTTTGCAGCCAAACCAGGGACGTGAAGGACCCCCTTCACACCCACTAGCTCCCCCTCCTTCCCCTTAATGGTGATCGTGCCGATGCCAATTGCTTGCAGCAAATCTCCGCTCCCAACAATCACGTTCCTCGAATTTTGTGGGAGAGGATGGTAGGAGGTGAAGAGATCACGGCAAGGAAGCATCCCAGATGTTGCTCCAGAGTCTAGAACCAGGAAGTTGGGATCAGCCAATGCACGACCAGCGAGAGCTGCATCCTGCCCTAGCAGGAGAAACGAGAAACCATCATCGGAGGAGTCGTCTTGGCCCTTCCCCTTCTCATCCTTAGCAGCTGCGGCCGTTGCTCCCTTGCTGCCCTTCTTATTCCAGAGCCCCTTCTTCATCCTTTTCTCCACCCAATCAGGTTTGGTCACTGGTGGGGCCTCTCCAGAGTAGCCGTGAGGCTTCCATCCCTCAGGCCTACTCCAGCAACTCTTCCAAGAGTGTTTTTTGTTGCATTCGGGCACAAGGCATTCGTCCAACTCTTTCTTCTTCCCCCCACCTCCTTGCTGTTGATAGCCTTTCTTGAAGGAAGCTTTATCTGCTGCACCCATGCCTCCTTCTAGACCTCTTCCAGCATCAACCTTGCGAGCCTCATCAGAAATTAAAACCTCCCAAATCCACACCTTGGTCCAATTCTGTTGCTCGAGGTGAAGGTACTGTAGTAATGCCTCATTAGCCGCTTGATCCAACCCTTGGAGCGCAGTATAGATGATCTCCTTCTCATCTACCGTGTAATCCAGCTCCTCCAAAGCCCGCACATTCTCATCCACCCTCTGGAGATACTGAACCATGGTCTCCCCCTCCCCATAGTTCCGCTCCATGGTGTAAAACCGCTTCCGCCAAGTAAGCACGCTTAGAAGCCCTTTCTGCAAGTGCCTATCTTGTACTCTTTTCCAAGCTGCAGCCGCTGCACCTTCCTTCCCCTTCAGGTCAATCAGCATCTTAAGAAGCTCAAGTTGCCCCTCCAAAGCCCAACACAGGTACTGAAAAGCCTGGCGATCCTTCCGATCCCATGCTTCTTGAGCTTTGAGCAACTCCTCGCTACTTGGTTGCGACCTTCCGGTTCGAGTTGTAGCAGTTCCTCCTTCCTTCACCCCACTCAACGACGCTCCCCCAGCCCCGGATCCCACTTGGCTGGTTGCTCCAGTAGACGCCTCCCCAGAGTCAGCTCGTGGTCGCTTCTCCGATCCATCCAACACACTTTCTAGGTCCTTAATACCTAGCCATAGTGTGAACTGGAACCTCCATAGCGAAAAGTCCGAGCCGGTAAACCTAGGAGGGCCATCCAACTTTTGGGCCATGTCAAACCCTAGATCTGGAGCACTTCAAGCCTCTCTAGATCTCTTCCAATGGAGGAAAGAACGTCCTCTAACCGTAGCTCTGATACCACTGATGGAAAACGTGCAAATCTGAAGAGAATAAATTAGAGATTAAGTCTGACGACCTCAACGGACCATTGCGTGCAGCTCAGGTAACTTCTAGAAATGAGCTTATACGCGTTGGAAAGGTCTTAATATCTAATTTCCAGAATGGTAAAGCACATTCATAACCAAGATCTGAGCCGCCGATTATGACGAAATCAGTGTGAGGGGATATTCTGGTAATTTGGCTAGGCAGCCATGAATGACTTAGTCAAAACGACAGGGGAAGCAGTTAGATCTGGAAAAGTTCAAGTATGTGATTGTCAAACAACACCAACCCTCGCCCTGAAACAAACCCTAACACTCCCAAGTGCCACAGCTGCAACATCAAAGATGTTGTAGTGGGTATGAGGTAGTATGGGTGGAAAGGTAACGAGATCAAACCTAGCCAACCAACCCAATTCTTTTGCCCAAATCCCAATAGCCCATAGCCAGCTAGAGCAAATCACACCACAGAACACTACACATTTATCAGTTGTCAGTACCAGATCCAGACCGGTCCTCGCCGCGGCTTCGTTTGCGGTAAGATCGGTCACTCCACTCCCCGCTGTTTTCGTCGCCTGGACGACCTCCCGGACTGGCACAGCTTGCTTAGTCGTAAGATTCAGATTTTTGATATGGACATGGATGCCATTGTTTCTGCTCTGCATGTGATGTATGCTGATGACTCTAGTGTGCTTCCCACTTATTACTCACTGTTGCCTAGTGTAGGTGTGCCTAGCTTAGCCTCCCCTGCTGCGTCAGGCGTAGGATCCCCTGCTTTGTGTAGTCTTGGTGCTTCCGCCGTCGTTCCGTCGCCAGACGCCTCTGCTTCACTTTCCTTCACCTTGGACTCTGGCGCTTCTCGGTGTTTCTTCCGCGACTCCACCACCCTGACGCCGCTTCCTGTTCCAGATACCGTTTCTCTTGCTGACCCCTCCGGCGGTCCGGTAGTCGCCCGCAGTTCCACCACCCTTCCCTGTCCGGCGGTTCCTTCCGGCACTCTCACAGGTCTGCATATCCCCTCGTTCTCCAGGAACCTAGTTGGTGTCGGCTGCCTCCAGGACCTTGGCGTCACCACTACGTTCCCTGGTCACGAGCGGTATGCTGTCTGTACCGAGGCCGCCACTGGTGCCCCCCTGTCCACGTTCCCCCGGGACCCGGTGTCCGGCCTGTTCACTCGGGACACCGTGACCCCCCCGGCTGGAGCGCTCACCCAGGTTGCTGCTGCCTGCTCCTGTCGGTCCCTCACTCACCCGACCCTCCTTTGGCACCACCGCCTAGGTCACCCTGCACTCCCGCGTGTGCGTCACATGTCCCAGCACGGTCTTGTCCTTGGTCTCCCAGGTTCCCTCCCCGCGTTTCCCTCCTCCCCAGCCCCACCTTGCACGCCTTGTATCGAGGGTCGGCTTCGCCGTGCCCCTCACTCCTCCTCGTTTCCCCCTACCGCCGCGCCGCTGCAGACCCTGCACCTGGACGTCTGGGGCCCCGCCCCCGTCCCTGGGCCGCGTCGAGAGCGCTACTTCCTTGTGCTTGTCGACGACTTCACTCGTTACACCACAGTCTTTCCCTTGGAGCGCAAGGCCGACGTGCCTGGCGCTCTCATCCCCTAGCTTGTCTCTGCGCGTGTCCACCGCGGTCTCCCTGTCTTGCGTCTTCACTCAGACCGTGATGGCGAGTTTGCCTCAGGTGTCCTTGGTCGCTTTTGTCGTGCAGAGGGCATCACCCAGACGTTCACCCTACCAGACTCCCCACAGAAGAATGGGGTCGCTGAGCGACGCATCGGTTTGGTCATGGAGGTGGCTCGCACCTCCATGATCCATGCCGGTGCACCCCATTTTCTGTGGCCGTTCGCTGTGCGCTACGCTTCTCACCAGCTTAACTTGTGGCCGCACCCTCAGCAGCCGCAGGTTTCGCCGACCCGTCTTTGGACTGGGTCTCCTGGTGACGCGTCTGCGTTCCACGTCTGGGGCTGCCTTGCTCACGTCCGTGCCTCCGGCACGGACAAGCTCACTGCCCGCACCCTTCCCTGCGTCTTCCTCGGTTTTCCCCTTGACGCGTCCGACTGGCACTTTTACCACCCGCCGTCTCACCGCTTCTTTCACTCTCGTGACGTCACCTTTGACGAGTCCGTCTCCTACTACCGTCGCTTCCCCCACCGTGCTCCCCCGGTTACCCCCCCCCTGTTCCTGGTCACTCCTTCCCCGGTAGTCCCTGCCCCTCCTCCTCCTCCTCCCCGTCCCGCCCCCTCTGGTGTGTCCCACGTCACCCCCCTTCTGTCGGTGGACCCGGTTGAGGAGTCTTCTGACTCTGGTGGCCCTCCTGTTCAGTCCTCGCTGGCCGCCCCTCCCCTGGCGTCCCCTCCCCAGTCCCCCCCTCCACCGCCTCTGCCGCCGCTGCAGCCGTCGTTGTCGCTGCCGTCGCCGCCGTCGCAGCACCCGTTCGCTGACTCTGGGGGTGCTCGTCCCGGTAGCCCTGGGGGTGGTCCCTCTAGGGGTGCTGGTGTGGAGAGTGCCGGTGGTAGCCGAGGAGCAGCTTGCGGTCCAGGTGTCGCCGTTGTGCCGCCGCAGCAGCAGTCCCCGCCGGTGTCAGCCCTTCGCCTGCTCGGCCTTCCGTCCCCCGACCCTGCGTCAGTTCCTCCTTGACCGTCTCCTCCTCTTCCTGTCTACGGCCCTGTCTTCCCTCCGCCGGACTCGTCCCCGGCCCGTCTCCCCCCTCGTTCCCCTCTTGTGTCCCCTCCTCCGTCTCCTGACCCGACTCCTCCGTCGCACGTCTGGTCTCACTGTCCCTCCCGTGCTCGTCCTGCCTCGCCTGTCTTGCGCTCCCACCCTATGTTGCTTCGTTCCCACGCGTCTCGTCCTCCCCTTCTGCCGTCGCCTCCTCCGTCCTCCCTTGTTGTTGCACCCCCCCCCGCTGTCTGACTACCTTCGTGCCGCTCGTCCCCTTGTTTCTCGGGTCCTTGCCTCTCTCGTTACCGACCCGTCTGTTCCGGCCTCGTGCCTTGACGCTCTTGTCGCTGCTGTCGCTGACTTCGCCTCTACCCGCCGCCTTGACTACGCCTCCGCTCTGGTCTCTGACCCTGCCTGTCCTCCGTCTGTCGGGGGTGCTCCTGCCCTTGGCAGTGACGTCCTGGAGGACCGCCAGTTCGAGCTTGCTTTCCTGTCCGAGGCTGCTCCTCATCTCTGTTCCATGCTGCTAGTCCATGAGGGTGACCCCGACGCTTTCGACATCCCGACCCCTCGCACTTACGCTGAGGCGACCTCGGGACCTTGGGCCTCTCAGTGGATAGCTGCCATGGAGCAGGAGATGGCATCTTGGAGATCCACCGGCACCTTCGTCGACGCAGTTCCCCCGCCTGGGGTGAACGTAGTCGATGGCCGCTGGCTCTTCAAGGTGAAGCGCCCTTCTGGAGAGCCGCCTGTGTTCAAGGGGCGCTACGTGGCTAGAGGCTTCAGTCAGACCTTCGCCCCGACCCCAAAGCTGACTACTCTTTGGGCGTTGCTACACGTAGCAGCACAGCGTGACTATGAGCTCCAATCCCTCGACTTCTCCACTGCTTTTCCTCAGGGCAGTCTACACGACCAGGTCTACGTGCGCTGTCCACAGGGCTTCACTGGTACCTTCCCTCCTAAGACCCGGTGGCTCCTTAGGCGCCTGGTCTACGGCCTGCGAGAGGCGCTTCGTGAGTGGCACAACACTCTGCATGCTTCGCTGGCAGACCTGCAGTTCTTTCCGTCTTCCGCAGACCCTTCACTCTTCGTTCGTGCTGGCCAGACTCCGTTCTACATCCTTGTTTACGTCGACGACCTGGTCTTTGCCACAGCAGACAGGGACACACTGGCCTCCGTGAAGGCAGAGCTACTGAAGAGACACACGTGCACTGACCTTGGAGAACTACGCCGTTACCTTGGCTTGCAGATCTCCAGGGACAGAGCTGCGTGCACCATCACCCTGACTCAGTCACACTTGGTGCGCCAGGTCCTTCAGAGGTTCAGCCTTCAGTTCTCCTCTGCACAGCCCACCCCTCTGCCTGTAGACCACAGACTCTCCGCTCCAGTGTCTGAGGAGTCGGTAGAGCCCAGCGGCCCCTACGCAGAGCTGGTGGGTTGCCTCATGTACCTGATGACTTGCACTCGCCCAGATCTCGCATACCCTCTCAGCATCCTGGCTCGCTTTGTGGCCACAAGCAGACACCGACCGCAGCACTGGTCTGCCGCTAAGAGGGTTCTGCGTTATCTTGCGAGTACATCGGGCATGGGGTTAGTGCTAGGAGGACGCAGGCCAGTGGTCCTTACCGGACACACAGACGCTTCGTGGGCAGACGATGCTGAGACACTCAGGTCTACCCAGGGCTACTGCTTCAGCCTTGGCTCAGGTGCCGTCTCGTGGAGAGCTACCCGCTCCTCATCTGTTGCGCAGTCCAGCTGTGAGGCTGAGATCTACGCTGGTGCCATGGCGGCACAGGAGCTCCGCTGGCTGACCTTCTTGCTCACTGACTTAGGTGAGCGGCCTAGCTCTGCCCCGGTCCTGTTCGCTGACAACAGGGCCATGATCCTCCAGTGTCAGGAGCCTCGACTCGAGGGCAGAGCAAAGCACATTCAGCTGCGGTACTTCCTCCTGCGTGAGCTACAGCAGCGACGTCAGGCTCGCGTAGTACACTTGGCCTCAGGTGCCAACGCGGCTGATATCTTTACAAAGGCGCTTGCGCCTAAAGATCATCAGCGGCACTGTGTACAGCTTGGTCTAGTTCCTGTAGCCTCTCACTTGCTAGGACCTTGACTTTGTACTGTCCTTTATACGTATACTCAGACTGGACTTGTGTCCTCTTCCAGTGGCTGGACTAGTAGTGCCGCCCTGCTCTTGTTCTTGCCTTGTCTGTACTCCTTCTGACTGGTCTCTCAGACCCTTGTCTCAGAGGTTGGACTAGCAGTGCCGCCCTGAGCTGCTTGTTTAGGACATTCCCCTATGCAGTCTAGGGGGTGTGTCAAACATGTGTATTTGTCATGTTTGTATAGACTGTATAGGGTCACCTCTTAGAGGGTACAACACTTAGGTATATCTGTGTGTACTCTCACTCTACTATCATTCACTTCTCTAATTCTGATACCCGATTGGTCGAAATGCTAACTACGCAAAATATGCGGTCGTAAAATCTGTCGCTAGTGCGAAATATCGCAACCGCAATTCGATTTCGTGGCCTACGACTTGGTAAAGAACGCGGTCTACTGCCCGCCCCTCGGAAAACATATTCACTGCTGGATCATTTCTAGTTGGGCCCAACTAGAAAGAGGGGTCACTATTATAGCCTCTCGCTATAAGCAGGGGTCTAGATAACTGTGTTATTATCCTGAATGTCGCGAAATTAGGAGTTGTTCTCGACCTGATTCCGTTTTTTTGCATAGTAAAAGGTTTTTGATTCCGTTTGCCTCGCGGATCACTTTTCGTGTGATTCGTTGATTTTGCGGGTTACTTATCTTCGACTCCCTACGAAGTGCAATTGCAATAGGGGATCTGTTTGTATTGGTGTATCACCCCTTCCCACCCTCCCCTCTACTTTTCCCACCCAAGCAAAGCGCGAGGTTAGTTGCCGGGAGTTTTTTCTACTCTTCCAACTGCCTCGGGCGTAGAATGCGCGAGAAGCAGTCCCCTGGGTTTCGATGGCTTTTCCTTAGCTGTGGCCAAGGCCATTAGCCTTCAAGGATGTTACTGTAGTATCAAACCAAGTGTAGCTCTTCGACGAATCCGTATGCTAACGGGTAAACTTTCGTTGATTCCGTCTGCTACCGGGTATTTTCGGGGCCGATTCCGTGACCTAATGGAACACCCTAGGCTTAGCGAGAGTATCTAATACTGTACTAAGAAAGCGCGAAGGGGTTGTCTGTCCTAAGCGCGCCGAGCCCGGAAAAAAAAAAGGCGCGAAAAGGCGAACTCTGACGTCTAGCTAGGCGAAAACATTTGGGGGCTTCAAACTCGCGACGAAATTCAGAGGCGACGAACGAAATAGATACCAGGGATACAAAAACTGCGCGAGATCAGCCCTTTGTTACGCGTGCCAGAAAAAAAATAAAAATAAAAAAAAATTCAGGGAGTTGGCAAAACATTAGCACTCAACAAAGCACAAACTCCACAGAACTGGAATGAAACAATGCGATACTCAACAGAACTGGAATGATTTGTTTTTACCGGCATGTGGGTACCGCATGTGAAGCAGCACTAATAGACTATTAGGCGAGGTTGGGAAATGGTCAAAAAGGGTCCTCGCTTTGCCAGAGGCGTGAGCAAAAAAGGTCTGGCAATTTTCTGCTCCAGGGACCTCGCCTCTGAACCTGAAATACACTTCTTTCTTTGTTTAGTACTTTAAACATTTACGGGACGTTTGCCGTACCATTCAACATTTCTCAACGGGAAAAAAAAACTAAAACCCATTGGAGACGGAATTCCGTTCCGGATGGCATCAACCCTAAACACGCGGCCCTTTTGCAAGTTTAGGGTTGATGCCACCCCGATTCACATGTGGTGGCCCTATGCGTTTTAGTTTTTTTTGTGCCCTAATACAGGATAGTACATAAAATTCGTATAAAGGTCCCACGACAGGGTTACGACACGAAGCGCCCCCATGAACCTGCAAATTTGTGACCCTGTGATGTGTGCGTATTGTATGAAGAATAAGGTGTAGTACAGGCTCGGAGACGAGGTCTCGGGGCAAATAGCTGCCAGACCTTTTTTGCTCACGCCTCTGGCAAAGGGAGGACCCTTTTTTATCATTTCCCGGCGAGGTTTGGAAGTATCTACTGTACTGCTTTTGAGCAGTAGAAAAGCTTTACTACAGTGAGCCCGTCGTACTTGCAGTGACACCCGTTGTTCATTGGGCCAATTATGTTCACACTCAAATTATGCACCCCAACCACCCCTTCCCAGGTAACGCGACTGTCGATATGCTGCAGATCCGCCACTTGCGACTAAATCGGATTTGACAAGTGGGTTTGGGGGAGGGGAGGGGGGGGGTGGGGGGGGTGGTGGGGAGACCGCTCTTCTTGTTTCAGGGGGATGCCAAGGTGTTGCGCGAGGGGGAACCTAAAGTAATGGAACGTTCGTTTTTGCCACACTGACGCGATTGGTGCACATGAAACGAGAGAAATCTCGTGCGGCCAACACGTGCTAAAAAGGATTTCGAGGGGGTGCTGCGCTTTCCTGTAAAATTCGCAGTGGTGCAGGGTGGTTGCCTTTTGAACAAGGCCGTTCAAACATTTGAACGCTCGCGTCTCGCAGAGCACTTCCTCCTCGAAAACCCTAATCTCAACCCCTTAGTCTGCAACCTGCGTTCCGCTTGTTTTTAGTTCCCGTTCGTCGCAACACAGATTACTCCGTCGCACGGATAGGACATTACGGTAATATAATATGTTTTTTTGCTCTTATAGCTCTCGTGACGTTTAAAGGAGCAGCAAACGATATGCGCTTTCCATCAATGCTCGAACTTTCCCGCTATTGTTAGAAGTTTCCCGTTGATGCTAGCACTTTTCCCGCTGTCTTTTCGAGCTTCAGTTTAGCCTGATCATATAGAAGCTACGCGGTCACACGACGACGACACAGAGTGATTTTCAGCGCATCCCATCGTTCCATAGCAGCACAGAGAGCCCGTGGTGGTGTCGTAGAAAGCAGATGCTCCTTCGTTTCTCTGGTAATGTGTGACTGTATGAAGTATGTCAACTTTTTACATTGTTCGGCTTCATCTCTCACATGGCATTGACAGGTGCCTGGATTAAAACCGGGGGGCATTAAGTGCTTCTAGGTGTGTAGTTTTAAAATTAAACAACCCCCTCCTTCCGCTCTGCTACCCCCACCTCTATCCCATCCTCATCCCCACCCCCCCCATGCAATATTCAGGTGTCGATGGCAAGTAGCAGCCAACCTTTAGACTTCCCAGCGAATAAGCGCTACAGAAATGCAGTGGAGGCGCGTGACGACATTGAGGAGCAATGCGATAGAGCGCTCTGCCCATATGTCATCGCACAGAATACCCCTAAAAGGTTAGACGTCAAATGTCCCTCTGTAGTTAGCCGGTCGGTCAGGGGTCCAGTCGTAACAGCTGAGATTAGATGCCCCTTCAAAATTCACATTCGGGCTACCCATGTAGGTGACATGCGGATTACAGTTATGCACTTAAAGCACCATCATTTGTGCAATGCCCGTCCTCGCCCATCCCCGAGGAGAAGCCTCATAAAACTTGCAATGTCGCTGCCGACAGCAAGCTTGACTCCTAGGATGCTACTCGACGAAATGCGGATGCGCAATGGGGCCCAGGCATCCTATGCAACTGCATGGAGAGCCTTGAATGACTTGAAAGAAAACGACCCCTTGCAAACTGAGGAATCATTTCAGTTTGTTCAAAGCATCATGGAGAGGCTTGCTACAGAGAACCCTGGCACATTAGTTTACTTCAGCAAGACTCAAGGTCGCTTTTACAGTGCTTCTGTAATTCCCAACGTTGCAAGGTCCACAATGCTGAATGCAATACCGATTCTGATTGTGGATGGGTGTCACAACAAGACAGTTTGGGGGGGGCATACCATCAACCTCGTGGTGCTTGATGGGGATGGGCATTATGTGTCTGTGGGCATTGCATTTGTGGAGTCTGAGAGTAAGGAAGGATGCGCGCTACCCTTGAGGGAGTTGCTGCGTGTTTTTCCAGAGCTCAACTCGGCTGACTGGACTGTGAAACACGACAGAAGATGGCCAAAATCGAGGCTCTTTGTCCTGGCGGGCAAAGGTACTTGGAGGGAGAAGATGGCCAGCTATCAAGAAAGTGGGCAACATCCAAATTCCCAAAGGCACGATTCGGTTGCCTCACGTCCAATCCGGTCGAGTCTCAGCATGCTTCTATGTCTGCCCTTCGTGGCAAGGCTATTGGCTTCGTCATTTTGAGCTGGGCAATGAAGCTGGCCCTCACGAGGTGTGATCGCTTGAAGACATACTCCAGCACCGAGGGAGAATGGAGCACCAATACGACAGAAGTGGTGCGGGGCAACTTTGATGATTCAGGGAGCTATGGATCGCGGGTGCTGCCGTGCGAACGATGGAAGGTCTCACACACCAAGCGCGAGGAGAGCAGAATTGTGGATCTTGCTGCAAAGACGTGCACATGTAACTACACCAGGTATGCTCTAAAGAGAACATGCACTACCGTGGTTAATGAGTTTTATTATTTCCAAAATCATGAGACTTGCCGCATCGTTATGGATGCTTGTTGTCAACAACAGTAATGCTTACTCATGGTTCTCGCCCTTCCCTCACGTCCCAAACCAATGTAACAGGGAATTTGGGCTACTGTGCGTGCACATCTTCGCAGCAGCTGGCAAAAGCCACGCGCCCTTCGACATGGTCCATCGGGTGTACAAGCTTGAGACGTTGAAGGCCATGTACGCGGAGGACATCATTCCGTTGGATCCCTCGTCGTGCGTCCCAGATAGGATCACACTCCCTCCAAAGTACAAGAAGAGGTCGGGCCGGAGGAAGTCCAAGCGCATCCGATCTCGTGGCCAGATCGATCCAGGGAAGTTGCGCAAATGCGGTAGGTGCAAGGTGAAGGGTCACAATGTGCGCACTTGTGTGGACCGTGAGGAGGCTAGGGCTAAGCGTGCAGCACGAAGGTCGGTGCAAGATCACATCACTATGCAGACTGATGTTGTTCCACGTGTAAGGGGAACATACGCGGCGTGCTTGGTCTGCGGACGTCGCCACAGGTTACGGGACAGCTGCCGACGAGGCCAGCAAGGACAGGAGCAGCCACGACAGGAGCTGTCCAGGTTTCGGGAACACATCCGGATTCAGCGCAAGACTGGGAGGGATGGTCGGCAGGCAGGTGTGGAGCAGGGGCAAGCGGTGCAGCAGCAGGGACAGGGGGAGGAGCGGAGGGGACAGCAGGAGGGACAGAGGGAGGAGCAGAGGGGACAGCAGGAGGGACAGGGAGGGGAGCAGAGGGGAAGGCAGGAGGGACAGGGGCAGCAGCAGAGGGGAAGGCAGGAGGGACAGGGGCAGCAGCAGAGGGGAAGGCAGGAGGGACAGGGAGAGCAGCAGAGGGGAAGGCACGAGGGACAGGGGCAGCAGCAGAGGAAAAGGCAGGAGGGAGAGGGGCAGCAGCAGAGGGGAAGGCAGGAGGGAGAGGGGCAGCAGCAGAGGGGAAGGCAGGAGGGAGAGGGGCAGCAGCAGAGGGGAAGGCAGGAGGGAGAGGGGCAGCAGCAGAGGGGAAGGAAGGAGGGAGAGGGGCAGCAGCAGAGGGGAAGGCAGGAGGGAGAGGGGCAGCAGCAGAGGGGAAGGCAGGAGGGAGAGGGGCAGCAGCAGAGGGGAAGGCAGGAGGGAGAGGGGCAGCAGCAGAGGGGAAGGCAGGAGGGAGAGGGGCAGCAGCAGAGGGGAAGGAAGGAGGGAGAGGGGCAGCAGCAGAGGGGAAGGCAGGAGGGAGAGGGGCAGCAGCAGAGGGGAAGGCAGGAGGGAGAGGGGCAGCAGCAGAGGGGAAGGCAGGAGGGACAGGGGCAGCGGCAGAGGGGAAGGCAGGAGGGACAGGGAGAGCAGCAGAGGGGAAGGCAGGAGGGAGAGGGGCAGCAGCAGAGGGGAAGGCAGGAGGGACAGGGGCAGCAGCAGAGGGGAAGGCAGGAGGGACAGGGAGAGCAGCAAGGGGTGATGCAGGAGGGAGTGGGACAACAGCAGGGGGGAAGGCAGGAGGGACAGGGGGAGCAGCAAGGGGGAAGGCACGAGGAGGGTGTGACGCAGGCCACTAGGAACCATCAGCGTGGCTCAACACCACCAGCCGAATGGGTGGTCCACATCGCAGATGTAGACGATGGATCCGAATGGGAGAGTGGCGGATCGGATATGGAGGACGACGTTATCGAAATAGGGGAAGAACCACAAGGGCTTCAAACACCAGCTGGGGCAACTATCATAGGGGCGCCCGACACTGGTACAGGTAACGAGAATCAAGATATTGAATGTGAATGCGGTGAAGAAGGGGAGGATGAATCATCGGATGATGAATGTGACTGTGATGACTCGGATACAAGGGA